GAACGGCGCGAGCCTCTATACCGCTCAAAAGACTATCGATGTGATCGATGATACCGTCTAGACGCTCCTCCACTCCGTTTGCGATGGACTCCGCAGTGTCAACCCGTCGGAGGAGCTCGGTGGCGTCGGGTTCGCACTCGTCAACTTTCTGGGAGAGGAGGTTGGAAAGAAGTGCAATATCAGCTTCGAACGGGCTTGCAGATGATCTTCCAGTGCGCTTATGCTTGCTTTTTTCCCTTTTGTATAGTGGTGTAGTCATGGTCTCGGACTGGACGGAGTAGATGCGAGTGGTTCGAAGGCAAGGTCTCTTGACGCGAGGCTGCTCAAGCGGGCCGTCCTCGCCACTTCCGGCAAGTCTAACGGGGTTAGGGTTGTAGTTAGGCAACAAAAGACCACATAGACACTTTGAAAATAGAATCTGAGAAGATATGTATGATATATTGAACTTCCTGCGGATATTTCTATGCCATAAGGTTGCTAATAGCTGTATACTCATGTGGAGAGGCAAGTGCCGGATGAACTACGAGACCTGCCAAATTTGGAATATGATTGGTGCATAGCGCCATTGCGACGAAGCGCGGGCATTGGCTACCATCTCTCTACTCCTCCTTACGCCGTCTGTGCTTTGTCTCCGCCACCCTGTGCTTTCTAGATTAGGCTACAACACCGTACGACTTTTCGGATTGACTGAGGATCCTATCCGGTCTCCCTATTTGACTTGTCACTCGTCCAGTACTCAAGTCCTGGGTCACCTGCGCCCGGCATGCAGTCTCTCCGTTCACGAAAGCCCTCGGAGTCACGTCCCAAGGGCGCACAGCGCCAGGGAACTGTGCGCGTGCCTAAGCCTGCGCCTCGAAATGCTGAGCGTCGCGCGACGCGAGTCGGGGAGAAGATGAAGAAGCGCATGTCAATGCGCTACGCAGACATCTCCGCTCCTACGGATGTCTCAGTGCCCGACGTTCCCGCTATTCCGATTGGTATGCGCGCGACGCCGTATGCGCAGGATATGCAGAGGTTTACAGAGGAGCCGAAGGAGGACCTAAGGATATCGGAGTTGAGGCTGTTGGACAAGGATGATTTCGACCCTGATGCTTGTGTGTTTTCTCGATTATGAGACTGTACTGAACCTGAGACTGGAGGGCAGACTTGAAGCTCAAGCTTGCAAACTCGACCGAGGCTGAGCTGCGGTCACTGCAGTCTTCACTACAATCCCAGAAGGATGATGTCGCTGTAGATTTACAGAAGAACGTCTTCAAGAAGTCCGTCCATTTGAGCCATCTGACGCTGCTGTCACTCTGACGTTGTGTTTATAGCTATGCGGAGTTCATGCTCGTTTCGAAAGAAGTGAGCACACTGGAAAACGAAATGCTTGAGTTCAAAGAAGCGCTCGCCGAATGGAAAGGCATGCCGTCTCTCTTGCACATCGACGACTCTGCTTCTGTCGCAGGTCAGTAACACAGTAGTCCCTCAAAGGATCCCCTGACCCTTCAAATAGAACGGCGCCGAAACGTTCGCTCATCGGTCGCCGACCTGCGTGTCCTGTATGCCAACCAAATGCAAACCCTTCATATGCAGATCGAGGGCTCCTCCAAGTTTGTTCCCACAACGCCCGGGCGGCATGTCATCACGGAGATTGACAATGTGGTTTCACTAAATCCTGCAACGTATAAGGTGGACCACTCTGTGCGGTTCGTTCTCTTGGACGACGCCGTCCTTGTTGCACGGAAGCGCAAACGAAGGAACAATACTGAAAACGACAAGCTTGTAGCGGAGCGGTGCTGGCCACTAAATGAGATGCTCGTCCTTGATACTAAAGATACACCCAGTGAGTGTCCCGCACGTATATCCGCCTCCATAGAACGAACTAATGTACCCTTCAGATATGACCAACGTCTTTAAAATCCGCCACGGGAAAGAGACGCACGTCTACCGTACGGATATTTCCGCGGACAAGAAGAACTTGTTGTCTCAGTTCCGTCATGTCGCGGAGGAACTTGCCGCTAAGAAGCGGAAGGAGCGCGAGGGCGAGCACCAACGGCGCAAGAGCATGTGGATGGGCGGTGACGTGCGTATAGCATCTGACCTCTTTTCATCGTTATAATAACTCCCGTCTACGTTGTGCAGCGTTCGTCGTTAGCATTCAACGGTGAGGGCGTTCCACCAATGCCGGAGTGGATGGCAGAGCTCGCAGGCAAGTCCGGAGAGCTCGGCGCGAGCGCGAAAGAGAAGGCGGAGCGTGACGCGCGCTGGGTCGGCGACTGGTCTGACGAACTCACCGTTTCCATCGCCTTACGCGAATGGGACCGCGCGGTAGCGCTCGTCGAAGAGGGCGAGGGCAAAGTCGCGATCATGCCCTCGTTGTCGGCGAAGCTTACGCCGCTCAAAGCATCGCTTTCCGCGGCGCTACTACAGAGCCTCGCCGCACCCGGGAACAGGAAGTCGACCGTGGTGAGCCTAATTGGTTTGCTGGTCCGACTGAAGGCGGGTGCGGCGGCAAGGAGTACGTTCCTCGCTGCGCGTGCGGATGTGATCAAGAAGTGCGTGAGGAAGATTACCTTCGAGGGCCACATCGGAGCGTACATTGGAGACCTGGCGACGGTGGTATTCACCGGGATCAAGCATACGGCGGACTGGTTTCTGGCTAGCTTCAACCAGAATGAAGCGGCTAGCAGTGAGTTCATATCTGTGCCTCAGGGGCATTAGGGTTGATCTCATTTTCTCTAGGTTTTGTTGAGTGGGCGAAGCAGCAGATCGAGCTATATGCAGAGATGTTTAGAAAACAGGTGTTTAGTACCGACGTTGACCCTCGTACGATCGATGAAGCCATACAAATCACGCACGTCCAAAGCAAGAAGGTACGTTTGCTTCATGTTCATCCGCACCTCCTATGTTAACACCATCCAGCTCCTGGAGGAATACGGCATCGACTTCCGATTCCTGCTGGACAACCTCCTCGTCGAATCTCCACACGAGACTTCCCGCCCCCCACCGTTCCGCGGTCACACCGAGAAGGCTCCAGAGCCGATCTATACCCCCGCATCGACGCCCGTGCGCTCACGTTCGCCCGCGCTCAGCTCGATATCGACACCCTCACGCACCCGCACACCCGCGCCCGCGGTCCCGCCTCTACCTTCCAACCCCCCACCCTCGGCAATGCCCTCGCTCGCAGTTCCAACACCGATATCCGCATCGCCGGGTCGGTCTTCTCCGTCTCGAATGCGCTCCCCGGTGCCCCCTCCTCGCACCGCAAGCGCTGCCTCGTTTCGGAGTCAGACCCCGACGACCGAAAGCGGCGCTCTGAGACTTCCCAGGGGCAGTCCTGCCCCACCACCGAGATCGAGGGATCGTCCGGGCAGCTCGACGGGGCGCCCGGCCCCCATGGAGTTGCCGAAAAGGCAAGGCATGTTCTGAGTGGGCGCGGGGGTTACTTTGGAGAGGATATCCGGACGTGTGGACGGTTCATTGTTGTACGATCACTCTGTAAGCTATTCAGTCCCGTCGATGCAGGTTTTTAGGTTATGATACGGCTGGAGATGCCACGGGACGGTTAGTGGCACAGCAGCGACGCGATGCGACGCTATTCCTAGCGCGCGGGGTGAGTGCGACAGGGATATAAATTGCAATCAATCCACGGCGCGATGGAAACCCTCGTAAACGTTGTGAGTCTCCCCTTCCCAGGTGCAGAGAGCGTAGAGTTCAGGTGCCGGTTTCGTTGAGAACTAGCCAGTCTTCATCACATTACATGACCGTAGACTTACTACTTAACGTAGCCTTCTGGTGGACGACGGTCCCTGATGTACTGGCGACTCTCTGGCAATTTGTCTCTGTGGGCACCGCTGCCGAAGGCGTTCCATAGCCTGCTGGAGGCCCTGGTGTACGCATGCCTTCGAACCGGCTCTAAAGACTCTGCCCGATCCACGTTCTGCAGGTACAGGGTCCGCAATATGGACCTGTTATGTTCAACGCGTTCGAAGGGAGGATGCGGTGGGCTCAGAACACGGGTGTCAGCTGTGAGATGTACAACGTTTTTGAGATACTCTTCTGTTTCGTCCACTTTGTACAGCAGTTTAGATATCAAGCAGCACTGTACGGACGCATCAGGACACTAATACTCTGGCAAAAGGGTTCTAGAGTCCCACACGCACCTGACAATAGCTTCGATCTCAAACAACGCGTCGAGCGGGAGGCGCGCGACCTGGACGGCAGAACGCGCGGGCTTGTGGTTCCCGAAGAAGTCGGAATACACAGCGTTGACGGCCTTGAAGTCGTCCATGTTTTGCAGGAACACCTGCATACGCGCATACACGCAAATTTGATTAAATTTATGCTCACAACCATGTGTGCTCAAGGGGGGACGTACGGTGGTCTTCACGACCTTCCCGACCTCGCTCCCGCCAGCCTCGATGATGGCCTTCATGTTCTTGAGGGCCTGTTTGGCCTGTGCCTCAACACCGCCCTCAACCTATGCCACACAGCGCACGTAGTAAATTGAGCACAAAATCGCGCGAGGAATGAGAGCTTTAATTGCCCTACCAGCTTGCCGGTGGCGGGATCGAGCCCGAGCGAGCCAGATAGGAAGAGCAAATCTCCTACGCGCACGGCCTGGGTGTAGGGCCCGACCGCGGCGGGCGCATCTGTTCGAAAGTGCGATGCGATCAGGATGAGCGCAGCCCGGGAGGAAGTCAATAGATCTGCGCGTGGTACCCACTGGAAGTAGAGACGAGAGAGAGGGATGCGTGGGTGCTCATTGTGCGTGCGGGGTGCGGCGCGTAGCGAACGGCAGAAAGGGCGAAGCAAGTGGTGAGGGCGGCGCGACGAAGTGGAAGAGACGAGACGAGACGAAGAGAGGACGGCAGCGGCATTGGATTATATCCCTCGAGGCCGAGCCTTCCGCTGAGCGTACTTCAAGGTTGGTGCTTCGCGATCGCCCCCAGTCCACTGACTCGAGCCAATGTTAAACAGCTTGTGGGTATATTGCTTGCAATCTCTGTCAAAACAACTCTCTGTTAGTATATCGGTTAGTACACGCGCCTGTCATCGATTGTACGGTCGCGCGAAAGCGGGGTTCGACTCCCCGACAGAGAGAATGTCACCTTGTCGTCGATAATTTTCATTCTTGCTCCTTGGCGACTTGAAGCCCGCCTTGCAACTCGTCAATGCTCGCCCGAAATCCATCGTCAACGCTCAGCACACAAGAGCAATAAAATGACCGCAAGGGAGCAGCCCAACTTATGTCTACCAAGCCTAAATTGATAATAAGACAAAACCTAAACCCCAACCCCGCCCGCCCATTCTAACACCTCCACCCTGTCGCCAACACGGACGACACCCTCACCGCCGACGATCGCGTTGCATCCAAAGCATGGCTTGTGCTTTCGCGCGGGATCCTTGTTCCGCCGGAACTTGAGTAATACTTTATAGGGCACCGCCGCATCGCGTGTGCCGGTGGTTGTGTCGACATTTGGTAGCTGCGAAGGAGGGATAGTGTCAGCAATGAGAGGCACACAGGCTAATATTCGATTCACGTACTAGGCAGCGCGTGCACTTCGATACGAGCGTGAAGGTACGCGTTTCTTTGTCTGAGACTGCGTCTTGCTCGTCCAACCCACCCGCAGGATGAATTCGTATTCGTCGCCACATGTCCTCCGCGAAAGGCACGCCAGAACCCTTGAACACGATGTTGGGGCGGAACCTACCCACCGAAGCGTAAGCATCTGCCCGCGGCGCGCCCCGCCAGCTGTAAGACAAGGAATGACAGACCTCTCGATCTCCACGCCGCCGTCCCGCCAGCGCTTGCGGTCGATCCCACCAATGTGCTCTTGCGCGCTCTCGTCCTGCGCGTACGCGCTCACGACGCGGCGGACCTCGCCCAGGCTCTCCTGACTCGCGACGAGGAATGGGTAGCCATCCTGAAACATCGCGGTCTCCCGCAGCTCGGGGAACGCGTCCGTCGGCGGGCATTCGCGCGCGCGCAGGCCCTTCATCGCGAGGTGCACCGCGCGCCCGAAGTAGTCCGAGAGGATCTCGGAGGGCGTGCGCGCGCCGGGGCCACCGAGCCCCGAGGAGACGACGTAGCCCTCCACGAGGTATTTGCCGAACATCGTGCAGTCTTCGATGCTGGGGGGCGTGGACCGTGGTTACCTCTTGAAAGGGAAGGGAGAGGCAGTGCGGTGCATTACGTACATTGGCCAGTCGGCGAGCAGTTCTTCGGTGGGGTACAGCGGAACGGAGAACGTCTCGCAGTCTGAATCTTCGGGGAACGATATTACCAGCTTGCCACCGTGAGGTGAGGTGGCGTCGGCCTCGACACGGGGGGTGATAAGCACCATCTATCGAGCACTGCATTTAGTACATGTTCATTTTCATAAGAGCGAACCCACCTTCGCGACTTCACGCGCGGTGATGATAGTGTGTGTTTCTGCCTCTACGATGCACCATTTTCGATCATTCTGTACGACGCGGGTTAGTAAATCTGAGAACAAGTGCGGAGGCCCCCAGCGCTCTTGCTCGTCATGGCCCCTGATGGAGATGACTCAGGGGGTGGGGCGAGTGCGTGTACATGGATCGCTGCATGTATCCCAGCGCAAGGTCCCCAGGGAAGGCGAAGTACCTCTAGCCCTTCGGGCGTATATCTTGCTTCTTGCAAAGAAGTCCCGCGGCAGCTCTACGAATACCGTCCTTAAGTCAGCCACAATGTACTCCGACCACGCGCCCCTAAGAGCAGGAACACACCTTGATGGGGTGCATGAGGATTTTGGCCACGCGCACATCCCCCAACTCGAACGGAACCGTGAGCTCGCGCTCGAGCGCGTACGAGTTCACAACCCCGCCCTTTAAGTCATCCTTCAGCTGCTCCGGGGGACACGCCGCCGCGCTGCTCCCGTTCGTTCCGACGGTCTTCGTGGGCTGAAGGGGGCTAGCGCGCCCAGACGACCTCCTCGCTAGGCTCCATAACAGGCCGGCGAGGGAGAGAACAAGGACGGAGGCGGTCCAGGCGAGAGATGTGTCGGTCGAGCCTAGGCGGCCGTGCCATAGTTCGTGCAAGGAATAGGAAACTGCCATCGCGCCGTTTATGGGCGCTTCTCGGCCAATCGTTCCTTACAAGCTTATCGGGAGATGCCGACATATACAAACGCTCGAGCTTCAAAGCTGAATTGCCATATATGTAATAGAAGACGCACATCTTTGTCCTATCGTACAGTGTCACATACCGAGTATTCTTCCACCGCAGGCATTCGCTTATTTAGAGAAGTACTCCTTGAACACAGGAACAGACTTCACACCAACCACACCAGCGGTTACCAGTGCGGTCCATCCAAGTCGCGTGGGCCATGCCCCCGCCCCCATCACACCCGTTTGCCCGATCGCGACCGCGACTAAATCGTACAGAAGAACAGAACCAAAAAGCGGTTTCGACGCAGCGGCCGCCAAAGGGAAGAAGACATAGGTAGCTGCTTGGACCAACTCGGAGGGTGGTGCGCGATAGCCCTGTTGGCAAATCACACGTTAAGAGGTGGAACGTTCACTGTCAGTGTGTTCCAGTAACAGGTTTCCACTCACCAAAGCGACGCCGCCGTTGTCGATAAAGTCCAGGACACCAATCCCCGCAAACGTTTTGGCCACAAAATGGGTCAAGCACAAGAGCGAAGAGCTATGGGAAGTAAGGGGGGGAAGCGCCGCCACCGCAAAAAGCTGCGCGAATGTGTTGATCGTGACTAGGACCTGCGATGCCTTGAAGTCTTCTCTCAGCCAGAAGTAAAGCCATCCGGCTACACGCTGAGGTGAGTTCACACACCCGCGTATCGTATGGAGTCACTTACCAATGCAAAAGTTGCCCAGCGCATACACAGGGGCATAGCTGAGAGCAACCTTCCAGCCGCGCTCCCTCTCCTTGGCTGTCACGTCCGCATTCAGAGCCGCGCCAATAGGCTGGTACTCGCCCGATGGCTCGTGCTCGAATAACTTCCGGATCCACGCTAGCTGGAGGACGACTTGTCCGGAGAAGAACGCGGCTATCATCCACGGGTTGGGAGAGAACGCAAAGTGGTTCTGCCGGTTTCGACGCAGTGAGCACCCAGTGCTACTTCGGTTTGGGGGTGGCCGACGGGGCACCTTACCGCATCTGCGATGTCCTTCATGTTTGGTGTTGTGACCATTCCGTAGGTTTGCACGGCGAAATTGACCAGGAACGAGCTCACGGTGAGCGCGCGGGCGCGAGAGACTTCGTTGCCCATGTCGAATGAGTCGAGGTACGGTGGTGGTGGTGGTGGTGGTAGGGGGACGGAAGAGAGTTGTGCGCGATGCAACAGGATGACGGGAGCATATATGTACGCCGGCGAGGGCTCAGCGGATGTCAAGGATGCAGAAAGGCATCGGACAGTGATGTCATTTGCGCGAGGAATCGTATGCGGTCACCAATGACAGCGTCGTCAACGGCGCCTCAGGCCGTCCTGTTGTAGCATTAAAGCTTTAAAGCGTATATACACAGGCACACACAACCTAACACCAATGGGCCACTTGAAGCTTATGTAAAGCTTAAAGATTGGAGAAGTCACCGCCGGTTCCCGTGTTCAGGTCGACTCGTTGTACAACCAGACCTCAAGAATTTCATCCGGATATGTATGGTAAAACAATATCGTCGCTGACTTACAGTGGAACAACACACAGTTCCAACAATGAGTAACTCGTCCCTCGAACCGTTGGTCCTCCAACTTGTTATGTACTTGCGGGTGCGCGTTTTTCCAACCCGTCCCTTACGAGTATGCATGCTACGCTGTCGAGACCATTGTCTTCGAGCTTTTTCACTAGCCAATCCAAAGCCGCGCTACTCGATTTCCCCAGCCCCTCCAGCCTGGCGCGATCCGTGATGCCCACCTTGCGCAATATGGTCGCAAGGTTTGGCTGTAGTCCGAGAGAGACCAGAAAGTCCTTCACGGCTGTGGCGCCTTCCGAGTCGTCGTCCTTGCCCCTTGCGGAATGGGAGGCAGCGGACGTTGAAGCTGATGCCTGAGCTTGGAAATTCCTGCCACGGCGTGAAGCATTATTCTTGATACTCGAGCTACCCGACGCGCCGGCGTTCCGCCCTGACGTACTGGTCGACGAACCGGAAGTGACGGAAGCTCCACTACGAATGGCCGGTTCATCACATACTGCAAGCCCATGGCGCATTTTGGCGTGTTTGCGGCTCTGGAGGTGTCCCCGGAAGCTATATTCACAGATGCCTGCGTTCCCCCCGCTCACGAGCTGTCACACACGCCGGCGCGGTGCGGCCGTCAGAGCCCACGTACGCACAAAGACGGCACAGACGCATTACCGGCGCTTCGGGGCAGGTGAAGCACCGCAGCCCCCATTTGAGGTTTCCTTCTGGCAGGCGACAGTATCCGACGTCGAAGCTTTCGTTGGGGAAATCTGCACGCAGACCTGGAAGCGCCGCCTGGAGCTTCGGCGGTGCCTGGGCACCGTACGCCGTAGAGCAAGCATTGAGCACAGTTCAACGCAAGCTTGAGGGGAATGGCCGGCTCACCTTCGCAGGGCAGCCTTTGCCAGGTTGCGCCTGTATCAGTGCGCGTGCTATGTTCTTTAGCCGCTCCGCCCCAGCCTGCCGCGGTGCAGAGTCGATCGAATCGTCGCTGCTCGGAGACGTGCTCGGGGTGGAATAGTCCGAGGAGGTGTCGTCCTGTTTCCTGCCAGGCGGTCTGCCCCGGCGCCGGGCAGGGGCGGGGGGCGGATCTGCCGCTGGGGGCGACCTGCGGACCTCCCGTTTCCTCAACGCGCCGGGTACTTTGTATACACGGTACGGACTCCGTTCGCTCGGAGGAACTCCGTCAAGTTCCCATGGGGGTTGCAATTCTTCGTCTTCGTCCGACGTGTCCACGACGCAGGGGTCGTTCACGAGCGGAGGGACTGCTGGTCGCCTGAAATCTGGCGGCACACTCTGCACACCAGAGGTCTCGGAAACAAGGCCCCGGCGCGCCGCCGAGAAAGGCGAGGAAGACATACGAGGGTCTATGGTAAAGGTCAGCTCTCCGGGTCCCTGAGTTGAATTCAGACAAGATACTTGCCAGGAGCTTTCTTCCCTCGTAGAC